TTGAGAAAGGCAAAACTGGAGACAGAAGTTGATTTAGAACCATAGGTGTCTATATCAGGGAAACAAACACAAATGTAAATCCCCACTCATATTGGTCAAAATACAGATAAGGTTATTGTGGGACAACAGTTGAGGTATTTCAACTTTTAAGGGATTGGTAGCTATTTTTTTGTATTCCCCAAATCACTGCAAAGTGATGAGATAAAGAATATTTTATATTCACAGTATTTCCTTTGAATAATATGTAATAAGGTTTTAAATACTGTTAGTAGGGATATTGAACAATGGCATTTCATGGATTTATTTTTTTTACTTTTGAAACTACTTTCCAATAAAAAAGTCTGATACAAAAATCACAGTAGCAGCATTTCCATTTTTTAAATGAAAATCCTGATTACAGGCAACAAAAACTGAGCTGATCTGCTATTCTTATCACATTTATTTTGTTTTTTTAAAAACTATTTTTTATTCCTGAATTGTGAACATTGTGAAAATTCCTTCTCCAAAAAGTCAACTTGAATACAACATTATTTTAAGCTGAAAATGTTTTTCTGTCTTGAATAACGGAGACTTAGTGTATATGCTTTGGTGACTAGTTGCAACTACAGCATAAGCCTGGTTACTGCTACAAAGAATGCTTCTTTGAAATTGAGATTCTCCAAGGAAAATATCTGGATAAAATGAAGGCATGGAAACAAGGATAGACTGACAGATGAAAAGTAGATGGGTAGGTCGAGTAACTGCTGCTGCCTTTCTCTTCTCTGTTACCTGTTAGGCATTCTTTGGAACAAGTACTGTTGTTGCAACACATTAGATTTTGTTCCTACAAACTTCATTCCTTTCATTGCAATTGCAGTAAGTTCCTGTCAGCCTGACATGGCAGTGTCAGAATCTTGCCTGGCAAAAATTGTCCTACTATCCAAGCCTTGACAATTTACTTTGATGAAAAAATCTGCTGAGTTTTGCCCCAGGTAAATGGTAAAATATAGAAAAATTCAACAAATTCAAACAAAATAATTATCTTCTTTGCCATGAGGTGCTGCAGAAGCCTTCACAATTCAGCTTTCCACTAATAATATGTTTCTGTTTGTTGGAATAATTAGTTATATTTATAGCATATATGTTTATAAAATATTTATAAAATTTTTGGCACCAAGTTTTCCACGGACAGCATTTTTTTATGTTTTAGGAATGTGCTAAGCATCCAGAAGTAAACTTACTGAGAGCAAAGGAAATTTATAGAAATAGTACCCAGAACCATTTTGACTGTGTTGAAAAAATATTTTGGATGTGTTTTAGACAAAGGATTTCTTTATGGATTGCTAATTTCATCATACTGGATTTTTGCTTCATCAGGTACAGAGTTCTGTACTGCCTCTGATCTTAAAAGTCATGCAGTTATAATTGTTATCTCAGATGATATTTCAATCAGTGTGTGGCTAATATATCTTTGCAATGAAAGAAACCTTGACTGAAGTAGGCTCAGGCATCAGTCACTTATTATGCTGCAGAAAAGATATTTCAGTAGATTTTTGAATGTCATCACTCCAAGGAAGACTGTTTTAAAGAATGAGAGAGGTTTCATGTAGCACTAAATCTGATGAGAAACTTGTTTAAACATGTCTTAAAATGGCCTTTTGTGGTCTCTTTGCAAACACATGTTTCTTCTTCCCAACACCCCCCAGGACAGGTTATCTCCCATGCAGGAATATCCTGGGAAAGGTGTCCTGAGGTGTCCCCATTGGACCTTGTTAACCCCATCCTGTGATTGGGTGTTCCTGTAAGCCCCTTGAGACTTCTAATTGGTTACTCTGTGAATCCTCCTAAACCCTATAAATGTAACACCCCCAGCAATAAACTCTCTCTTGCCTCCTCTCCACGCTGGTGTGCTGTCTCTGTGCCTGCCATGGGACCACGTGCGTGGGGGGAGGGGAGGGCACCTCTCCCCTCCAGGCTCGGGGCCTGAAAAACCCTGTCGCTGGAGTTCCCTTTCCCTGCCCCTCAGGACGTCGGAATGGTTCATCAGATGGAGATGGAACTAGAACTGGGCTCCCCCACGCTGTGGGTGGGGAAAGGGATCCAGAGTTTCATTATCCAAAGAAAGTAATTTCTCTAGGCTTAGTCAAAAATACTTGTTTAAAATTTTACGTAGGTTCCTGAGGTCCTCAGGGAGCCCCAAGACACAAAGTTCTGCTTTAGCATATGGATGTATTATGTAGACTTTCAGAATCATGAATTTTAATTTTAAAATATTAATTCAATCACCTGGGCATTGAGACCTGAAGTTATTAATTCTGAGAATATTTTATTATAATTCACAGGTAGGCTAAGAGTGAAGACTGCTATTCTGTACTGATTCCCTGCTCTCCTAGTGCAGATTTGGTTTATTTTCACAAAAATTTTTAAAATACTTAGCTAAAAAAATATTAAAACCAACTGGATTAAAGTTAGGTGTGGTGTAATAGAGAAATTGCTGCTCTCTCAGGTGCTGGGTAACAGTTCAATCCAAGACATTTGTCTTGGATTAAGTTAAGTTAGTGGTCACATCTCATACAGCTTAAAACAGTGGGATGTTCTGCTTGAGAAAGATGGGAAATGGAACTAGCATGAATGATGAATTATTTCTTACCTTTAGGTGGTCTTTTCAGACTTGAACTTATTTTGAGGGAGAAATAAGAAATACAAATGGTCCTACTTATGTTATCCTTGGCTTCTGAGTTAAATGAAACAAAAAAAACTTGTCTCAGTATTCTGCTTTTCCAGTCAAGTGTATGCAGGATTTTGAGAAAGGTGCTACAAATGTTACAGTTCTCTCTACCTGAAGAATTTGCTCAATTCTATACTCCTTTAATTACAGAAACACTCTACTTAACCAGTTAGGTAGCTGTTCTTTTTTGCTGTTATTAAAGAGAAAAATGAAAAAAAAAAAAGTATTTTTTCCCTTTTATTGTGATACTTTCCTGATTCATAACAATTTAAATATATATGATGAATGTACTAAGTCTGCTTTTTGAGTCCAGATCTACTTGCACTTGCACAACTGTGAAGAGAAATGGAACTGCCATTTTTTGTGACTTCGTTCTGTAAACATTAAATGAATAAAACTCCTTGTATATTTAGCTTTTAGATGAATAGACCTGCTCTCATGAGTAATGACTGCTTCTCTACTTACTGTATTTTGTGCCAATCTTATCTCTATTATTATATTACAGATTAACCCTTTCAGCAGTATGAATATTAAATTTACTAATTAAGTTGTGTAAAAGACAAAGTGATAGATTCTTAAGTTTGTTTCTTAAGGTCTAAGCATTTTTATTTAGCTGCTTTTATGCCCCTCCCTCCTTTTTAACTGCAAGACATTATGGTCATAAGACATGGTGATTAGATACCATTTTAGAATATATTGTGAATACAAATCCTTTTTGGTTAACCGGTGATTTTGTCAATTTGTGGCTGATGGATTTGTGTTTAGGATTAAGGAATGGTTGCTGTTTTCAGGTGTTCACACACTTCTGTCGAGCTAACCAGAGCACAAAATTTGAAGTCAGTAGTGGCTTTCCTCCATAATACCGGAGAGTTCCTAATTTAGTATAAACCCTACTGATACAAACTTAATTCATCCATGTTTTCTGACAAAACTTGGAAAATTAGAGTTGAGTTTATGGCAATTATGCTTTCTATCGCTTTGGATTTGGTATTAGAATGATCAAGGCTGGACTTTCTGTAGTGTTGACTCATTGCCTTAAATTGCAGCTCCACTATGAATTTATGCTGGTCTACTTTCTTTTCATGCCTGCAACTCATGCTGGTGTATTTGTGAGCATATGTTGGATCAGATTCAGGAACTGATTGAGTTAAACTAACTGAGAAAAGCAAAACAAAATTAGTTTTGATTTGCATCAGTTCCCTAATCAGGTTTGTTGTGTTACTGCATTTGTGCCGGGATAAAAGAAGGTCATTGATAGAAGGAACAAATAGTCAAAGGTACCGAAGGAGGAAGGAGTACTTGTTTCTGGGTCAATGCCATTTGCTCACGTAAAGTGTTCACATAACTTGAATCACAGAGTTACACTGGATCCCAAGAAGTGCTCATGGATACAGATAAGAAGCATGAGTGAAACAACTTGTATGGAATCACAGGATCATCAAAGTTGGAAGAGACTTTCAAGATCATCTAGAATCACCACTAAACCATATCCCCAAGTGCCAAATGCAGACACCTCTTGAACATTTTCAGGAACAGTGATGCCACCATCTTCCTGAGCAACTTATTCCAATACCTAATCACTCTTTCAAGTGAAAGTTTTTTTTCTAATATGTAATTTGAACCCCACCTGGTGCAATTTAAGGCCATTTTGTCTTGTCCTTTCACTTGAGACATAGCAGAAGAGACCAACGCCCACCTCACTACCACCTTCTTTCAGGAGCTGTAGAGAGCAATGAGGTCTACCTGAGTCTCCTTTTCTCCAGACTAAACAACACCAGTTCCCTCAGCCACTCCTCATAGGACATGTTTTCTAGACATTTAACCAGCTTTGTTGCTCTTCTCTGGGCATGCTCCAGCACCTCAATGTAATTTTTGAAGTGAGGGGCCCAAAACACAGTCAGTACTCAAGGTGCAGCCTCACTACTACTGTGTGCAGCAGGACAATCACTTCACTGTGACTCCATGCTATTATCAGTTCTTGATTCCCAGTTCTCTCCATGATTCTCGTAAAATCATGAACTAATAATAACAATAAGAACAATATTTGCTGCTGGATCAAAAAGAAATTTAATTTTTAACTTGTGTTTTATTATTTTATTCTTTTTTTTCATGAAAGTTGTTGTAATAGTAGTACAGGGAAATGGTTTAGGCAAAAAAAAATTTGCATTTTTGTCTTTTTATGCAATTTGCCATAAGATAAACATCCTCTTTTTTGTATTTTCTCCCTCTCTTTTCACTTCTTCTTGATCTTATACAGTATTTTCAAGTTCATTGAAACATTATGTTTTTTAAGGTTATCACCAAACTTGGGCCTCTGGAGTGGATTCTTAATACTCCCAGTCATCACAGAGTTCATCATGGTAAGATAAAAATGGAACCTCTTATTCTTTGGTGTGTTTTTTTTTTTCTCAAGCTCACTATTTTTATAGTAATAATAATGTAGTAAAATTGTACTGTAAAATCAGTTTTACAGAAAGATTTCAATTTTGACCATTACATCAAAAATAGTCCCTGTTCAGTTAGAAATTTCACATTATTTTAAAAACCTTTTTTAGAACTTAAGTTTATTTTAAAAATTTTATGTTTAAGATTAATTATTGAGGAGAAATTAAGTCTGGATAACATGAAAAAATTTGAAAATTGAGCAAAACAATTCAATATTTGTAAATATGAAGAATGATAGAAAAATATCTTATCCTTCCCTGACTACTGAAATATCATCAACAAACATGCTTTTGTGTTCAAATTCAAGCACTGTAAGTGTGAAAAAAAAATGGTTATGTTTTGGAAGAACTGTTAAATGTTTTAGTTTTGGCTGGAATTTGGAATTTGGTTTTGGCTGTCTGAATTATTCTCACTCCACACAAGTGCATGATGATTGACTTTTCATCAGTATTCAGAGGCATTCAAGACTGTACAGCATACGTAAATTGGATTAAGAATGAACTCCATTGCATACTGAAAAATGTCATGGACATATCTGAGGAGTAGAAGTGAATTTCATGGATGACCTTGGCTCATTCAATATGCAGAGATAATAAGTTTGAAAAAATAGGAGAACGGAAGAAAAGTTTGAAACAGATTCAAATGTAGTTATATGTAGTTATATGTACAGAGGATGTTATTAATATTTATTTTATCCTCCCAGTGTAAAGTGTTTATGGCACTGTGTAGACTTTTTAAAGAACTGTGATGCTCTAAGTGTCTAATCCTTAAAATTTGCACAACTACTAGTAATCCTGGAGGGAGACACTCTGCTCTTATTTGCTCTACTGTAAATCTAAACTAATCCTCTGATCCTGATTGAAGTTAAGCTGAATCACTCTGGAGCTGATCAAGGGTTGTACAGTTGCTCCAGAGAATCTCCATGAACTTTGGGATATGTAATTGATGTTTCTTTGCTCATACCTTTGAGGACAGTCTATGTACAAATACATTCCCTAGAAAAACATAGAAGGATCAGTTTTTCTCACACTGAAATTAATAATAATGAAGGCAGGTTAAGATATATAACATAGAAGACAGAGACAGCTGACAGCCATTAATGAGATGATTACACATACGTGTATTTAGCATAGATTTTCTTTGGTTAAAAATAGTGAAATTATTTTTGTTCGCTTTTTAATTTGTCTTGATAAACATATTTTGAATTAGTTTTACTCTACAAATGAATCCTTCTATTTCGCAGAAATTTTGGGTATGACAGATTAGCTTTGCATGTTTGAATCTGAATAGAAAGAGAGCAGTAAGGATAGTAAGAAAAAAGAGATTTTTTAGAATTATAAGGAGTGGTGGGTTTTAAAACTTTTATTTTTAGATTATAAGTGATGCTAATGATGATTTTCCTTCATAATTCAGTTGCACGTATTCTTATGTATGCCATTACTTGTCTCATAAATGATTTTTATTATAGGTAGAAATCCTTACTGCATTGACAAAAATTATGGCGGCACACTTATTATCTGGGACAGGATATTTGGTAAGCAAAAAAAGGTTCTCTCTCTCATCTTTAGTCAGTGTGGCCAAAATATGTATACCTTTGAATTTGATTGTTGGTTGTTCTTTTGTTTTCTTCTTCCGTCAGGAACATTTGAGGCTGAAGATGAAAAAGTTGTATATGGCTTAACACATCCAGTAAATTCATTTGATCCCATCATGCTCCAGGTGCTACAGTTTGTATCACTGACTCTGGTATTTTCAACAGTCAGTCATGTTCAAAAGAAAGTCCTCTCTTAGGCACAGTTGAGACCATCCTTGCATTGCTGCACAGTCAATTATCTAAATTATCTACATTATCTAAATTTTTTTCAGTATTTCATTGCAAGATAGCAATTTCTACTCACTGCGCTGAGTATATGCAGAACTTGTAGTAATCATGAAAATACAAAACAGTAAAATCAACAACTAATTACAATGGTGATTGTAATAGGGAGAGTTCAGAAAGATACTGAAACTGAAACCATAACACCATTGAAAACTCAACAAAGACCAATATTTATTATTAAGAGGTGGCCAAAAAAATGAAAAAACCCAGGAGAGAGGAAGGAGGAGAGAAGTAAGCCCTCAGTACGACTCCCTCAGTTACCCAGGTGTTTTATATGAAGTTATCTTACTGCCCCGGAATGCCCATAATTACCATAGCAGAAGCTGCATTCTTGGAGAGTCAATAGGCTCCCAAGGTAGCAGGTGTCCCTGCAAAAGGCAACATTGTCCTTTGATGTGAAGCTTGCGTTTTTCATCCCTCCTCCCAGCATGAGCTCTCTGCTTTTTATACAATTAATTGTTGAAGTCTACCTGGGCAGGTGTGGCCAGCACCGTCCAGCTAGAGGCCTTCAGTCCCCCCCCGGTTATGTAAGTGGTGTCTCTTCTGCTCATGTGTGGGTACCTTGGAATTCTGCTTGAGCATGCGCGTTATACCTGAGGGGTCTTTTCTAATTGAGTCTGCGGGTTTACTTCATCATTCTCCTCTTCAGTTTCTCCTTCAAGTGCCCTTGAAAGGTGATGAGCCAGTCATAAGACAGCAATTAATTTCAGTTTATACAAGATGCTTGCTTCAAGGACGAAGTTCTCATTTATCAGTGCTTGTTTTCTCATAACTTGGCAGTAAAAGAACAAACTTTCACAAGTGGCTGGGCCAAACGCAGACCAAAGTATTAACATCTAATTAAGCCCTGATACAGCGATATAACAGGCTTTGGATTGAATGATTTCTGTTATGCAGTGATGCATGGACAAAAATATATTTTTTCTGTTGTTTTTCTTCTCTAAATATTGCTATTTCATAAAAAATTCCATGATTATTTGGATACTGTTTATATCTCTTTTGCATTTTACTGTTCAGTGTATTCCAGAATGATTTGTGTTGACAGGATTATATAGCAGCTGCCATGGTCTCAACAAAACCTCCAGAACAGGCTGAAAATAGTTTTTTAATTAAAAAAGGAAAAAAAAAAGTACTTGATGTGATGCTTCTTAGATTTATTGGTCCAGATTTCATTTAAGCTAGATAAAAATTCTCTGTAAAAACCTGAGGAGTAGTGGAGTCTGTGTTTGCTTTTCATGACTGTTCACCCAAGGAGGCATCTCAAAGAATGAGAAATTCTACCTGCATGAGTGTCTGGGCTGGAAACTGGAAGGATGTGCAACGATATCCATTCTAGTTACATACCAAGTAATTTAGTTATTGAGAGTATGTCATGTCAAGGTCTCAGTAACCAAATTCTAGATTAAAACTACCATAAATATAACTACACAATATACCAGTAAATACTCTGGATTGATTATAGAAGGGACAGATGGAAAAACACATATTTCTCTGGACAGAAGTCATTGTAATCCTCACAGTAAACCAAGGGCTTGTTATGGCTTCTGCCTATTTCAGCCAGGTTTTCTGCACTATCTTCATCTATTTCTAATTTATTCTCTTTACAGAGTTTGATAAATCATTTATTTGAAAGCTAAAAATGAATAAAATATGATGTTTTATTAAACTTTATTTTACTAACAGTGAAAAATTACTTAATTTTTTCTTTCCAGCTACGTCCCTTGGCTCATATTTGGAACACATTTTGGGCCACACCTGGATTCTGCAATAAGCTTTCTGTCATATTCAAAGGGCCAGGCTGGGGACCAGGCAAACCTAGACTTGGCCTTCCTGAGGAAATCCCGGTGGTAAATAGAACATGCACAGGCTTTCAGTTGTGTGTAATTTACTTGGACCTCTTAATGCTACTGGATCAATGTTAAAAACTCTACACATGCTATTTTAAATTAGCAAATTAGCAGTCATAAAGCATAGGGCAAGATGAAATGGGAACAGAAACTGAAGGAAATTAATGTTTTAGCTGTGGGTTTTTTTCTTTTTATTTGAAAGGAAAAATATATTTTTTATTTATTTTTTCATTATTCATTTCCTGAAGAGATTTTCAAAACTGTTCTATAGAGTACAGTAATTTCTTTTTTTTTTTTTTAGCTGTGGACATGCAGACACACACATACACAGAGTTAAACTCTGTCTTACAGTAGGTAATACATGAGTCTGACAGTAGATTATCTTTGTGCAATTCTCTGTCTCCCTTTTTGTATTTGTAAGTATACTAAGGAGCGGGTCACTCTTGAAGACTAATATCTGTTTTGCTTTATACAGATCACTGGAAAAGAAGTTCCCTTCAATCCAATTGTACCAGCTTATCTTAATTGCTATGCAGTTGTACATTTTGCTATAATAGTGGACTTGTACACTGAACTCCTTGCTACTGTGACTGTAAGTAATTCCTACCTTTATGAAATAACATCTTGTGCTAACAGTAATGACACACAACATTTTTAAATATTAAAGTATTGAGCAGAGGTTCTACAGTCTGACTCGTATCTTATTGGAACTTTTAAAATAATAAATAGATTCTGTAAAAAGAATCAGCATAAATGGCTAAATATAATTCTGTATAATTCTATAATATTAAATATACAATGTTTGATAATGTTTAGTAAAACAGTATCTAATAACCATATCGGTTATTTACAGATGAATATAATTAAGTAATTAAATTTTAAAGTAATTTTCCTAGAAGGCGTATGTGTCTGCTTCAGTTTGTAGGACATCATGAGGCTTGAAACACTGTAGGTTTTAAGATGTCAAGTTTGGTCATACTGTTAGATGCCAATAATGTCCAGGCTTTAGAAGGAAGATTGCAAAGGTCTTGCAGTGTTTGCATGTGGGAAAGTTCATGTCAGCATGAGTTCAGAGTTGGAGTAACACAGTCAGGGTAAATTCTTCTTCCATTCTCCAACATACAACAGCTTTGATAGAAATACAGCAAGGAGAGGCATGTATATATAACCTTGTTTATGGGCTGATGGGACCTCCCTGGTAACTGGTTCTTCTGTGGATACCTGGCAGCCTCCAAAGGTGAACTACAAGGCCATCTCCACCTACACGAAGTGAGACATTAACTGCTTCCAAGTTTTCAGATCATTCCAAGGTCCTTTTTTTCATTCCTTCTATGATGACTCTAAAGTACTAAAGCTAAAATTTTCTAGTTATGAAGCAGAATTTAATGCATTTAATATTCCCACAAATCAGTCAAAGACCTACCAAGACCTACCCAAACACCACAAAAGTCTATCAGTTTGATAGACTGTCCTTTGACCATCTTCTTAAGCTCTTTCTAAGACCTCCTTGGTTAAACAGCAGTCTTCTTGTTGTGTTTGCGTCATCCCTGTTGGCACAGGCAGGCTGTGAGCATTCCAGGGGCCTCTTGGTTTCAGCCTCTGCTCTCCTGTGGACCTGTCTTCTCCTGGCATGCTCACCTGGCAATCTCCAACCCTTGGCCAGCAGTGGTTACTGTCTCCTGCCCACCTCAATAGAAACTGCAGCATGTAGCATTCCTGATATAATATAAAAGCTACCTCAGGCATACTCTTCTGATTAGTAATAAGTTATTCTACATATTGTATTTACCTCTGCATAGGGTCACACTGCAACTGCAGGGAATTTGGGGATTACTGAATCATCCAAGGCTTAGCCTATTCTAAGTTGTTTCAGAGGACAGGAAATTAAGCCAAACATAAGAATAAATAGCTCCACTGTATACAAATTATACAGTATACATGATTGCCAATGTTCTTATATTGAGAAAAGTCTTTGCAAGATTTTCCAGTTTGTTTTTTTTTTACTCTTTTGCTGTTGCTTTTAGCAACAAGAAGTAAGGATTATGATCATGAAGGTTTTTTCCTATTCTATTCTTTTTTGTTTTTTCCCTCTTTTGGGTCCTGGAAGGAAAAATAGATGGCCCACATTATTTTCTCTGCTGATAACTGCAGCCATTTAAGAATAAGTAATAAGGCGAGTCAAAAAATGCACTCAAGCCCTGGATGATCATTAAAATCTTTCAGTCATGGAAGAAACATCCTGAAGATACACCATTTATGAATTTGTTTTAGAAAAGCAACTAGAAAATTCTCTGCACAAAACTGTGGTGTAATAAGGTAGTAAGGAAAAGAAGGAGAGCACAGGGGATTAGAAGCACCTCATCTCAAGACATAAACCTTCAGCGTGGGTGTAGAAAGTGCTGGTCCCAAGGCAGAGTTCCAGCATCGCTCTGCAGTACAGTGGGGAATCTGTCATGAGAAGGAAGCTTGTGTATGAATAACTTTACTTGGCAAAAATCTTTCTTCAATATCAGTTTTCCACTACACTGAGTTATGAAATGTCTATGGATACAACTGGAACTTTCTGTCTGGCTATGAATTATGTCATAACTGTGGCATAGCTCCATAAATGGAGAAAACTAACTGTTTTCCTCATCTTTAGGTATAAGTTCCATTTCATAATAACCATAAGACACAGCACACAGCTATTACATTTCTCAAGTGATTACAGTTGCTCAGTGTTTGGTCTCACGCCCTGCAGAAGTGTTAAATTTCGCTATCCGTAATGAGCAACCATATACCTTCTGTCTGAGTGACCTACATTTAACTTGTGAAAAGAGCAAAACAAGAAAGAATAAATACATATTTTCCACAGGAGAGAGCATACTGTGTTTGTTTTCTATATAGTGATCTGCACTATATCCAGTGAATAAAAATTGCTTCTGAGCTCTACACATCTAGACCTGATCCAAAGCTCATTGAAGAAATGGGATTTGGATCAGTCCCAGAGAGAGTGCTAAGAGTGTAAAACTGCAGTACATTCAAAGCTAAAGTCTCATAGCTCCAGAACTGCATGTATCACATAAATCAAAGTGAAGTGCACCTTAAACACATTTTGTAGTGTCTTTTTTATTGTTGATAGATACTGTAACATTTACTGTGCTTTTAATTCTGTGAATATGTGAACAGTAGACGAAAAGCAGTAAGGTAGATCTCTTGAAAGTTGAGAACACAATTAATGTGTCCATTTAGTAGGACATCACCAAGTACTGTGCATGGAATATTGCTAAGAATTTACAATTTCTTTTTCATACAAATTCTAAGTTAAAATGAGTTCATACAGCCAAGGACGCCTAACAATATAAATTTCATAGCATTGTATTAGCATTCCTAACTTGAGTGTTGAAAGTGTCTATGACAGCAGGGCATCTGTTAACTTATGAAACAGGCTGACATCATACCTAGCAGTTTTTTTGAAACAAATCAGAATGAGAAAATACATCTATGTTATGCTTCAAAAGGAATAAAACAATCTGAGTTCTTTGAAATGTAAAAGTCAATTTGGAATATTTGATTGCTCATCTAAATGTACATTGGTATAACATTTCCTTTGTTTAAATGAATTATTTTTTTTCATTACAAAAAAACATAAAATAATAATGCTGTAGCATTCCATTGATTACAAAGCCATGTAAACTTCTTACTAAATTCTATAATCCCCTCCCCCTCCTTTTTTAAGGCTCAAAGTTATATTTAATGCTTTCAATGAAATGAAAGTCCAACAGAAATATTTTTTTCTGTTTGATTGCAGCCAATAACCACATTGCAAAGTTGTGGCTGACTTGTAATTGGGGAACCTGCTGCGGTCCCACATGCTTCTCTGTTTATACAAATACTCCAGTATATAAATACTCATTTATTTTATATATACATCCATACATACTATGTTTAAGTGGAACAAGGATGCTAGCTCTAATGAAGGTGTAAAAGGCACATTCTTTTCACACTGCTGCTTGCAGTGCATAGATTTAATATATGGATGTTAGTTTAGTGATATAACCCACTGACTATTTTGTTGATTTTGGTAGAGTAGTGGCTAGAAAATGGATGCCTCAGCTGCCAGCATCCACTTCATAGGGTGATACATGTTTGAAAGCAAATAAAAGAATCAAGGCAGCATACAACTATACCACTGAAGCTGTAAGAGAAACAAAATAATAACAGTAAAATCTATGCTACATGGCTGGTTTTCTAAAACCTGTTATTCCCAATGGCATCATGGTGTATTTCACTGCAAATTCCTTGGTAATCCTTAACTAGGAGCACAAATGAGGGAACGCACTTTTTTTGTTGTATGTGAATGTGGTGTGTGTACCTACAGTGAAGGGTAACTTACGCCTTCTACCTTCAGGGTTCCCAGTAAGGCTTTACGCCTCACCCTTCATTCCTCCAGAAAGCTGAAGTTTTGGGAAGTGGAAAGTTGCAACACTGTGCTCAAGCATTACAGTGCCATGCTTTTGTGTGAATCTGATGATAGTGGCAATTTGAAATTAACTGTGATCTGCAGGTTGTGCTTTAGAGTTCTCCAGTCCTTCATGTTCTGGTCCACAGGGGGTATTGACCATATGGAATTTTACAAACAGTTAGTGTTCAAAATACTATGGTTCAAGTAGGAGAGTGTCTGAACAGAAATGGAAATTGGCTTGAGAAAACAAATCTATAAAATATGATCCCACTTGGCTCAGGTAGTTATTATGCCAAAGAACCCCACTTAACATTTTAACCATTTAAATATAAAGGCTTGTTTATATTTGAGTTTGATTTTTTTAAGTTATAAGGTTGCTTCAATTCTTCTGATTGACTAACATACATTAAAAAGTATTTCTACTCCCCTTTTTTTCCCCTGGAACTGCATGTTTCAAACTGATATGCAATTTATTAATTTCCTTTCAAGTTCTTAATCTATGCTTTATTTTTCTGTGGTTAGATAAATATAGAGAGTCAAATGATAACTCTGAGCTCCATTTTTGCAAGTCTGAAAAAATGCTTAAAAGAAGTTTGCAGGGTCACAACTCCTTTCTTTCTTTGTGGAGAGAAAGTTATGTCTCTATTACCAAGCTTATAATTATTTCAATGTTCATCAACAACAATATAATAGAAAAATGATAATAAAAAATGTTACTGTTCCTGAAAATATGTTAACTTTAAAAGAGTAATTTTTAATTTCTTTTTCCTACTCTTCTGTAAATGTCAAATAAAATGTATTTTTAAGCAAAGAAAAAATGTAGTTGATAGAAATTATGGGTCAAAACACCACTAAAATATGACCCCAAAATGTCTACTTTGGGGAAGTGCTTCCATCACTCACTCAAATATAACTCTTACTGCAGTACCAAATTTAGGCTTTAGACTTGCAGTCTAGCTAATAGCAAGAAATTGAATCATTCCCAAAATGCTCTCTCTTCACCAATTACAGCAAAAGTGTAGGTTAATAATAGGTTTTCAGGCACTTCAGTGGAGGTACTTAAAGGCAAGTAGAATGAATCAGCACCTCGGTTTTCTGAAACTGGAATCACGAGGAAACCCAGATGCCCAGGACTTGGTGACTGGTTGTTTAATGGTAGCCAGCTCATAAACATGGGAAGGCAGAAAAGTATGAAATCATGCAGCATTTTTAAACTGGAAACTGGGGACACCCTTATTAATTCATAGCAGGTACTCTTGGATCCTCCATGAAAGCAAGTGTTAGCTCTTGTATGAAAACCATTGCAGTTTCATTAATTTTCCATAAAGTGTGATTTTAGCTATATATTCTAATGTAGAACTTGATTGAAATCTGGTTTTGCTGTTCAGTTCTCTTTCCTGCCTAAGAGAGATACAAAACCTTACCCTCTTTTTCTCGGAATAGTGCCCTACCACTGTGGGAACATTTTTAAGGCAGTCTGCGGAACCCAGTGCATCACACTGGGAACAAAGCAAAACCTGAACCACCTGGCCAGAATGATTAGGTTTAAAAAAAAAGGTGTAGTTCTTCAACTTAAAAGTCAGGACAGTCTCTAAGGAGAAAAGTCTTGAATTCCAGTCCTCGTTCCCTGGAAAACTCCTTTATTTGACAAGTAACAATCATTGAAAAACATATCAAAGCATTTCTCAGAAATTTATGGGTGAGTTCCCTTATGCCTTTGCCAAATCATGTTTTTCTTTGCTCACTTCTTGAATTTTTGTATGACCCAGTTTCTACAGGAAGCTGAAGTGGGAGTTGAACTCACTGTGACTAGATGAACCGTTAAAGAACTTCTCATTTTATTAAATTCAAATAGAATCTGTGCCTGATTTTTATAAAAAAAACTCTGTCCAAACATTTTGTCACTTCAAAACAAATTGCTTCATGCTAACAGTGGAAGAGTTATCATCAGGAGGGATGGAACAGGTTGGAAATATAGAAATGCAGTAATAAGTTTGATTCTCTCCTGGTATAAATCTGTGAAACAGAGTGGCTTGACAGGTGTCATTTGTGAGACCTGTGTTCTGGCTTGTTAACTGGTGAGGCTGCTGTTCAGCTTGCACATTGCTGGGATTGAGTTTTCTTTGTTCAATAACTGTTTGTTAAAGATAGCTAAGTAGGTGTTTGTGATTCTTCAGTAAAACAACAGAAAGCTTTCCAGCCCGAGTGTGTGGTTTGATGTGTTTTGCAAACATGGGCACTCTAAGTTCACACAGCTGTAAAACTTGAGAATATCCTCCTGTGGCCTCCCACGCTCACAGATCCTTACCTTAGATCTCTTCAAGGGGTTGGGGCCACCACTGAAGGAAGCTGGGCATGTCACTGAATGGGATTTATTGAAATCAGGGCAGACATTCATAGAGTTTTATTTTTCCAATGCTTGCATTGTGGAAGTGCAAGATGCTGTTCGCAAACTGTGTTGCTGTTGAAGCAAGAAAAGATTCCTACAACTCAGATCCATTACTTTTGTTTCGTTTGTTTTTTTTTTAATGAAAAAACTAATATTTGACAAAGTCAAGGAGGAAATAATAAAACAGATTAAATATTTGATTTTCAAAGGCAGTTGTGTAGAATACAAAAGAAAATTTAGTAAATGAAAAAATTAAAACTTTACAATCAAAATAATTTCTGTTTTCCTGAATTTTAGTTATATCATTTTTATGTAAATTTTAAGGACAGAAGTCCTTATTCTACTATTGATCCAAGTACTCACACACATGTTAACATTAAAAAATGTTTTAGGTCTGATTGAAGTTAATGATATGAATTGAAGGGTTTTGTTGAGTTGGGAAATGAGTGTTTAGTTGCAATGAAGGGAAAACATTAATTTTGTTTCTTCTCAAATATGATCATGTCATGTGAATTGTTATTCTCACCAATACATTGGTTTTGGTGTCCATTGGGATTCATACATGACTATTGTAAAGACCTGGTAGCATAAGATGAAAATAAAAGAACAGGGATGCTGGGATTTTTGTCTAGAAATAACTTGTTCCCTCTTTCTAAAGTCATAAGGGACTCAAGTAACTTTGGGAAAACAAAAAGTGCACAAGGGGATAACATGAAACATTATTTTGGAAATGCAGCATTCAGGAAACAACTATTAAGGTGGTTACTCCAGATAGATTACTTTAAAAGCAGACACTAACACCACTAAATGAGGAATTTGAAGCTACTGTTCTGTACAAACTCAGTTTATTTTCAGCAAATTACTCTAAATGAATTCTTTGCCTACTTTTTAACAGATGTTATCACAGGGAACTGTTCTCCTGAGAATTGGCTTTATCATTCTGTCCCTGGCCTCTTTTGGACTACTTATGGAGAATAAGTAAGATACAAAACATAGGGTTTTTTTCTTCTTTCATTATGTATTATTATAATTATATGGAAATCTCAAGTGTGTCAGAATTTATATCGATAAAGAAATACAGATATACTTGGACACATATGTTGTTTTCTGTAGACTAGAAAATAGCACATGACTAGCCAGCATCTAAATACAGGAGTGTTCCCATAGCAATTGGTGGCTGCATTTGTATTGTCCCTTGCAGAAAAGTTTTGGGATGGGTTAGTCATGTCTCCCACTGTGCTTGCATTTATTGGGTCCACACCTCTGGGTTTGGGACATTGTCAGGTGAGTGGGACCTGCCAGCTGTCCCAAAGCTGTTCAGGGACAGACTGCGATCATACCGTGTCAGTCCTGTGTAGCATGCCAGAGGTGACAGATATAGTGATGGTATATGAAAAGCACACAATGTAGCTCACAGTAGACTCAATATCATGTGGAAGATTGTGTAGACTTAAGACTAAACTTAATCAGTATGGGTTCAAATGAAATTGGATGTTGAGTACACAAGCCCAGTGAGACATACATTATGAAGTAGGGCATACAGGCATTGTGGTCCTACAGAAGGGTAAGTGGCAGGCCTAGTTTCTTACAAAGAAACTATTTGCCCTGCCAGAGCAGAAATGTGGAATAGAAGCTTCCTTTGAGACTGAGGGGCCAGTACTGCTTTGCACCTGCTGTTCATTGTATTTTCAGAAAGGAATACATTTTATTTTTATGGACTGAACAGTTTTTTCAGGATAGGTAAAAATCTGTCAGTATGACATATATGTGTATAATTAAGGGAGTTAATAATGTGAATTAGTAAAATTTATAGAAATAGACCCATGAAAAGGTGTATATTATAAAAACTTAACTCTAAGTTTATAAAAGATGACTTGATGCAGGACATCACAGACTAATTCTACTTTCAGTTTTTCACTGAAGTTAAAAAAGAAAAGATTGGATGTTAATCTGAATTGATTCCCTTTTCTAGGTCCAAAGCAGGAATTCTGGAAATCATCCGCTGCTTAGTCTTCATAGTTATTTACAAACTTGGCTACTTTAGAAGTCAATTTTCTTTCTTGGGCTATGCATATGAGGTAAGACATTTATTTTGAAGTGTCTATGGTGATTACTCTAGATTTTTATCTTTCCAGAAAAAGCAGAAATACTAAACATTTATATTTTGCTTTCTTATGTTTTGTTACACTATTTGAGCATTGTTTTTTTCTTATCTCTTTATCCTTCATTTTTTATGATCATTTTGTAAGAAAATTATTTGGGTTTGCTACAGAGATGACAATTTCCATTGGAAAAAAATCATGGAAGTGTGTATTTACCATTTCTTGTGAAAATAATATATTACTGGCCATATGCTTTGAAGAGAATAATGTAAATGAATTGCTGAATTTGAATTGTTTAATTCTCCTTTTATGAGAGAAATCTGGAAATGCTTGGAGTCTGGAAGACTTCAATATAAAATATTTTGTTTTGTACTTAGACTTTACCTCAGAAACATACTTTTAGCCATTGACAAAGGAGGATACTGAACTAAATATATCTATAGTCTGATTAAGTCTGGTTGCTTTTGTGTTCTTAGCACTCATTTTTATCCTGTGTCTTTAGCTTTTTAATCTTTCTTTCTTTTTCCAGTACAGTTAGCATTTAATGACCCTTTTAATAGTATCAGAATTAAAATAATCATTAATGAGATTCTGATCTGAATAACATTACCAAGCTCCCTACTGTTGGTTACCAGCAAAGGTTGTGTTCAGTAAGGTTATGAATAGGTTGATGGACTAATAGAACTGTTATCTACTACTTTTTGGATTAAAATTGGAAAAAAATCAAATAAAACAGTAGGGACTGAGACTCAACCAGATTCAAAATGGTTCGTTTGACTTGAAACATCTGCAAAATTTATAGCAACTTTCCTAATTGGAGGTTTCTGGTCATGGTGTTGATTGTCCTGCTTTTCTAAGGGAACAGGCAATAGAAAAATGAAAAATATCTATTACTGCTGTGGGTCTGGGTGTTTTTTTGTTTTTTTCTTTTTACCTGGAATAGGAAACAATAACTATTAGACAATATTTAAAGCTAGACAAATGCCACTAATTGAGAATTTGTTAAATTTTCCCCCCATATTGTTACATTGTCAAAGCTTTGGTGTATAAATCAAGCAGCTCTTGAATTGCTTTGATAGGAGTCTGCCAGAACTCAGCAGATATTTTAAGGGTTTTACTTGCCTAAATATAATTTGGGAAATGTTTGCATTATTTCATGAGTAGCCTAATAAAGTAGACAGGCTTGTAGCTACAAATTCTAAAATTTGGCACCTAATCCTAGAAGCCTTGAGATATAACTTTCAGACTTGAATTATTTGGGCATTCTAACTGAATTTTGGGAGAATTATATGTCATAGTATACACTCTCATAACTTGCTGAGTTGTGTGTATTCATACGTAATGGTGTTTCTTACTAAGAAATGAGTAGAAGTAAAATTATCATATTATTATTTCTATTGTTTGTAGGGAATTATGGTTCTTACTCAATTTGTTATATTTTTCTGTCATAAAAAATTTGACTTTAGTGTCATCTCGAGTTCTTCTCCGCTGTACTCTCCTATCCTTTCTTGTGTGCAATGTTTTTCCTTTTATCCTTGATATTACAGTTCTTTGTTGCTCTTATTTTAGTCCCTTGTTTGGCGCAGTCCCTTGTTTGGTAGTCCATTTGTCACAAGAAACAGGAGTACCTTGCTTACAATTTTGCTTTGAAAATTCTGAAAGAATAGTTGTCTTTCAAATAATTTGATGTTGGGGAGACCAGAATAGATAATGTTTCTGAGTGATGCCAATATGTCCACAATTGGGATTTACATTTTATCATGAATCGACAATTTGGTGATATTAATAGCTATTGTGATCATAGAATCATAGAATAATAGAATAGTTTGGGTTGGAAGTGACCTATAAAGGTCACCTAGTCCAATCCCCTGCAATGAGCAGACACGTCTTCAACTATGTCAGGTTGCTCAGAGCCTCATTCAAGCCGACCTTGAATGTTTCCAGGGATGGGGCAACTACCACCTTTCTGGACAACTTGTTCCAGTGTTTCGCCATCTTCGTCATGAAAAATATTTTTCTTTTTTTAGTCTGAATGCTTGTGATGAACTCCAAAGTATCCCCCATTTTAAAATAAATGATCTGCTTTTGCTCCCAATGCATTATACAGTTTGATTCATGTTAGTCATGTTCTTATGTGTCTAATGGAGTTTATGTTAAAAAAAAGTCTGAGCAAATAGAAACTGATGAAGATTTTTCAATTCATGTTGAGAAGTCTTCAAACATTAATGTTTTATCTCAATATTGAGATTGAGCCGATCATTTTAAAATAGCAGTACCAGAAAGCATAATAAATAAATAAACAAATTGTTTCCCCAGAAATTAGGTTTAAGATTTATCCTAAAATTGTTTCTGTTCAGCATTCAAACAAGTTATGTATCCTTAATAGTATGATAGTATAGAAAACTTTGAATATCTTTTGTGGCCCATAAACCTAGAGATGCAGGTTTTTTAATTTATGCTACATATGTCCTGGTAATTTTTATCTGCTTGCTTTTCAACTTCCTTTGCTCTGTTTCACTTTCACATCCTCTTAAAAATTTTTGTTTTCCTTGTCTAAATATCCCGTCTTTAGCATACACCTAGATTTAGCTGACTTGGATCTTTTTAATATAATATTTCTAGTACTCATAATCTGTAATATGAAATATATCAAAGGATGTCCTCCTTACATTTTTATCCTTATATGTTACCAAATAATGCTTTAGTAATCCAGCGTTCAAGAATGAACACACAACATCATGTAAAAGAATTTCTGTTGAGATTTTTTTTACTATAAATTATGCCTTCAAGGGCATAATTACTTAGGGATGAAGAGAAATTAATTGCAAGAGACATGATGGCACTATTCAGTGTTTCTAGAATTTAACAGATAATTCTGTCCCAGAATTCTTAAGCTAACAGTGCACATTGCAGCAGATAAGTGCAGGACTGATTTTACCAATGGCATGTTCAATTATTAGTGAAAAAGTATGTGACTCTTGTCTATACATGTGGGCTTTTTCTGTTACTATGTTTCATATGTTCATATTTCTCATGACTATTTTAGAGACAGTAGATAAGATTTCAGAAATAAATAACTTTGCAATACTATTTGCAGGGTATTCTAACTAGCAAAAATAGGTGCCTTAAACTGCAAATGATTGCATTTGGCTCATAAGAAGGTCTGACAGTTATCAGAACTGGTGCATTGGAGGAAGGCCTTCTGGGTGGAAACTAGATGGGAAAATAAAGAAGAAATGAGAGAAAACTAGGGGATCAGTGAGAAAAGGGAGAAGAACAGAGGAAACAAGGAGCAAGCCTTTCCCACTTTCCATTAAATTAGCTCAGATGGGCGTGAAGAAAGCAGCTAATGATGGCAGTCTGAGGGGGAGGAGCAGTCCTGTCCTCTGGCTCCAGCCTCTTACCCTCTTTGCTGCCCTGCTAGCTGGGTTAGTCAGCTGGTCTAACAGGTAGCCAAAGATTTTTCTTCAGATAAGTGACAAAACTTCCTGTGGAGCAGGTGAGATTCTTAATGCTAAGGTTCAGGGAAGGTGAAAGTAAAAGGAAGCTATAGGGGTGTAAGAAAGGACTTAAAGCTATATTTTAATATGATTGTTAACTGTGTCTGCAGTCTAATAAAAAACCAGCATTTGCTCTACTGATACTTCAAAGTTGTGTGTTACCAGCTTTGGTTCTGTATGAAAATGATGTTATTTTTCCGATCATTTAAATATATTGTTCTCTCTGCTATTGTATTTGAAATCCTTCAATTATATGCTCATGGGGATCTCTCCCAGTGCCCTTTCCTTCTACAAACAAGAAAATAATTTGAAGCTATCATTATCACAAAAGTGACTACAGGAGGTAGAAAAGTGCATGTTTCTCAGTATCCATTTTCTGTTAACCTTGTCCTGAATGTATTTTGTATGGATGGTTAGATGAAAGAAGTAGGGGTGATTGTTTGTGGTTCGTGTGTTTGTTTGGAGTTTTATGTTTTGTTCGTTTGTTTAAGAAAAAAAAGTGGTGATGTATGAGGAAATTTTTAGATCCTAAGAAAATTGTTTCTTGGGTGGAGGTCAGTGAAAACCTCAATGTTAGAGAGAGAGATATATTTGACTGGTTTGAAGAGCCAATATGTTTCTTTTTGAGAATCTGTGCTGCCACATCCTATACTAGTTTTCTTTAGGCTGATTACTTCATGCCTGTGTAATGTGATGATTGTGTGTGTTACTAAAGCCAAATCATTTTCTGTCAGACTGGGCCTGGAGCCTTCTAACCACCTGGAGGTAGCAGAAAACATTGCTTGTATGTTCAGTTATGTGACGGTTCAGCAGGCATGATATGTAAAAATAAATCTGTGATGATGGTGCACCTCTTCAAAGTGTTTCCATCCAACTGCTCTGGTTTGGCATCAACCTGCATATTCCATGAGCTGAATTTGGTCAAGCACTGGCTGTTATTTGACAGTAGTACTAATGAGGAGCAAGTAGAAATGAAAGCCATTGACATGTTGTTGGAACTCTTGTCTTAAATATTTTCAAAAACTCTCATAGTGGCTGCAACTCAGTACTGAGAAAGACTCTTAAACTAAGGGGCTAGGAGTGAGGAAGCTGGAGGAGGAAATAGATGTCTGTCTTGATGTGCTCATTTATCTGGCAGGCATGCATTAATTTACAGGTAGGAAGGACAAAAATCTAGGGCAACTGTCATGGAGGAAAAGAGAGAAAAAGAGAGACTGTATATACATGTGATGTTTTAAATTCATAACTTGTTTTCTTTTTTGTTTTATGTGGGGGTGTGGTACATTAGAAATATAACTAGCTTTGGAAGTTACACAGAATGTTGTGCTGCAGGGTATAGTTCAGCCCTTAACTAATGAAGGCAGAAATAAGCTTTGTTGTGGTCAAATTGTTTATTTACGCCTCCAGAGTATCTGAACTTGGTAGATTCAGCTGTTGCAAAAACTTTTGGAGACAGTATTCTGTACCAAATGGACT